CATATTACACAAATGTTGAGCGATGTGATTTTTTTGATATATCCTCAAAATATAAAATATGCTAGATGACAATTGCAATCCCAGAAAACAGTGATTATATCTGATGTATGGAATCATTAATGATTACATTTTACATTTTTATTTTTTTTCAAAGTAGTTGGTTATAATCCATTTCCATGGCAACAGGCACTATCAAGAGCAATTGTCTGTGGAAGCCATTTTTAGTGCATGCTTATAAAAGCATGTCATCAGTGCAAAAAAGATGCTTACATTAATAAGTTCCATAACAGGTAAGCACATATCTATTGAATTATTAAAAGTTAATAACAACTGTTAGGGAAGAATTAGAAGGCTGAGAAGGGTGTTACAGAATTTTTTAAAATATATAAATAACACATGAAAAGATGTTCTAAAACATCAGAGGACTCCTGCTATGAACCTTGGCCTTGTAGTATGTCAAGATTAAAACGCCTCAGACAGGAATTAGGGATCTATATTGAGCTTATATTGCTCATCCAAAAACCAATTCCTGACCACAGAATCAAAGCAATGGGAGGAAAAACCTCAATAAAACTATCTTAAGTCTTCATTTTACATTTTCTAGAATGTGATAGATATGATATTCATAACCATTTTGCAATAACTGAGTCTAAACCTCCCCTGCTTTTTTTTAGAGAATGTTAGCATAAGAAAGTGGGACTTACAATTTTTTAAGAAGAAAATTATCATTAAAGAATAAGGAACAAAACAAGTTATATTATTTGTGAGTATTAACAATTTTCTTTAAACAAAAGATTAAAAATTTATAGTGGTGATATGGCATGAATCATTTCTGGAATGTTAATGAGAGTTCACAAATTGAAAAATCTCAGAGCCCATCAGTCAGAGCAGATTGAACAATTTTGTGGACAGAACAACTATATTTGTTTAAATTATTAGTATTTAAACAGTTAATGGGTTTAATAGTCAATGTATGTATTCTATGATAAGAAAGTAACCTTTAATTTCTACTTAGCAAGTCAGGGGAATTTTAAAGCAAAGTAATTTAGGCTGATTTATTAACATATACAAAAACCCAAAGGCTTTAGAGGGCAGGTATACTTAGAGAATTACAAGTGGTTCAAATTATTCTTGATTTCTAGTGTGTAAGGTGATGTATGAGAGACCGAGCAGGTTTATTTAGTTAAAACCTTGTTTACCATGCTAGAGGGTTTGGAATTCAAATGAGGACTTACTGAAAATATTTCAAAACGTTTAAGCAGGAAAACATTTTATTGCATTTTTTAAAATAGATCCAGGAAGCAGAATGGAGGATGCATGCAAAGAAGACAATTTAGTAAGTATGCTACTAGGATAATCCTTGGGAATAATTTGTGAGGGTGACATATGAGGCAGCTACAGTTGGGCTAAAGAGAAAAAAAATTAAGAACATTAGAATGGGCTGCCTAATGATTATGTCAATATGCAAGATCAGGTAGCATCACTGATTCTTAGGTTTCCGGCTTGGGGAAGCTGCAATATTAACGTTCTAGTCACGGAGATAAGACAAGAGGGAGAAGTTCTCTTTGGAGATTTGGAGAAAGAGAATGATTAGCTCAGAGCACAAGCTCTAGGATGATACTACTTGGGTTCCAATTCTGAATTGCTACTTCATAGCCATGTGACATTGGAAATTTACTTGACTTCTTTATTTTTGTCTCCTCATATATAAAAGGAGATAGTTATAATATTAATCTTATGATGTCACTGTGAAGATAAAATGAATTCATACATATAATTACCAATAACTGCAACCCCTTCATAACCTCAATTGCTACTTCACTCACTCCCATAACCCGACAACAATAACCTTGATTCCAACAATCTGTGATTCAACTGTAATCCACAATGCGTTGTTCCTAACATTTGTTTACTATACCTCATTCTTCATGTCCTTACTTCTCTCATCTTCAGGCTTAAATTCTATAGGCAATTATAATCATTCTCTTGCATATGCTCTCAACTCCCTGGCTATTCTCTCTTTTTGTCCTATTTGGCAAAACAGTCTCATTAAGGCTGTGGTATTCTTATTCTACTCCTAGAACTAAAATGTAATTGGAGAAATAATGACTGAACGTGACCAGAGAAATATACTCATCCATGCTTACCGATCCTGTTCTAAATTTATAATTAGTAACAAGCAACTGCTCATTACTCCCTGCCTATGAGATTTCTTTGATCCATTAAGCTACCACTTCCCTAGACAACTGTTGTGTACCTTTTTCCAATCTTCAAAATTTTCATATGCTTTATACCATTCTTGCTCTCAGCAATGACCCAGCTTCTCATTTCTCTGAGAAAGTACAAGTGTCATAATTTTTTTTTCCATTGTTGCCCCCTCAATACAAAAGTATATTATTCTTTTTAAATGTAAGTCAAAATCCTATAATGGCTTCCATTCAGAGTAAAAGCTCATGATCTTATAATGGTTAAATTGCCCTACATGATATGAAAATCTTATGACATACTTCATTTTCTCTTTTATTATTCTTCCCCCAGCTCACTCAAGCCCAGGCACTAATCTCCTTGATACCCTTCAGATATGTCAGATTTCTCCAACTCAGAGTCTTTTCTTAGTGACTTCTCTGTCTGTGAAATTATGACCTTAGATAGCCACATGGGTGACTCCCTCACATTCTTCAACTCTTCACTCAACTATCTCCTTGGTTAACTCTTTCTTGACTGTTTCTTTCATAATGTAGCCCCAGCATTTCTTCTCTTCCTCTTCTGCTTTAATTTCATTTGTTTACAGTTAAAATACAATCAGCATTTTAACACAACCAGGTACTAAATAATTTATTACATTGTTTTTTGTCTATTTCACCCCAATACAATGAAAGCTCTATAAAGGCAAAGTTTTGATTTAGCTTTTTACTGCCCTCCCACATCTATAACACTACTTGGCATATACTAGACACTCAATAAATACTTGTTGAATGAATGAATAATTGTTTAACAAAGTAGCTGGTGTAGAATATATACTTAGTAAATAAGAGTTATCATTATTACATTAAATTATAATATATGGGGCAAATAAAACATGGGGCCTCCAGATTACAGATTTATAGCTTTGAGATCTGTAAGAGGAGAATGAACTGAATATAAACTAACAGGATAATGAAATCCACTAAATAAACAAGATCCTACTTGGAAGAAGTTAGAGAAGAAAGCTGTGACATGTGAGGGTAGAGCAAGGGGATCCACCAACATGGCCAGGTTGAAGTCATGAAAGCCAAGAAGATTAATAAAAGGAAGCATCCAAAGAAACAGAAGGACCAGGAGAGAGGTGGTATAATGCGAATCAATGAAAGGTAGAAATTCATGAAGGATAAGGTGGTCAATAGTCCCTAATACTTCAGAGTAGATCGTATTAAGGAAATGATAAATTAGCAAATAATGAAAAACATATTGTGATTAAAACTGCAGAAATGTTTAATGATTGAAAATAAATCTTCAGAATCAAAAGTGTCTAAAGAAGCAATGAAAGGGTTTGCAAGACTATTAGAAGACAAGAATATTCACGCCACACGTGTTCTTTATTTTTGATTCTATTTAGAAAGGAAAGAATAACAAAAAGAAAGGAAAGAATAACAAAAAGAATCCATCTCAAGTCTGACTTTATGTGACCAGCAGTTGCATAAGTTGGCCAAAGCAGTAGTCTCCTGGCTCTCAGAGTTGAGAAGAAGTTACAAAGGCAGCTGGATGACAGTATGACATAACAGATTTCTTCGCAGAGTTAAACTTTGAGATCTAGGATGCATCTAAATCAGTAAATTTACTATACTATTTTTAAAAACTGAAAATACATAAAAAATTTACAAGTTGTTTCTCTTTAAGAAAATACTATAAAAGTATAAAACTAACACCAAAATTCATCTAAAATGTAAAGCATTTTTACATGGCTCTCATTAATTTTAATTAATCTTATATACCACAGGATGTCTAATAAATTTTACATGAAAAAAGAAGTTAGGATTAGTTATTGCTATCCTCAGCAATGTAGAGGTATTTTCTTTTGCTCTACATTTGTAGTTTTAGAAAATGAAGAGTTTTTAGTAATTTTTAAATAAAGACATTTAAAGTACAACCAGTATTTTACAGATAATTACAAAATGAATCATAAGTGGGTGCAAATAGAGTAATTTGATTAATTTCTAAGTTGACCTTTAGAAAAGTATTTGTCTAACATTTCTTAGTTGTATTTTTATTATATCAAACTGAAGTTCCAGCCACTTAATTTTCATGTTGTTTTTAAAAACTGAGAACTGCATTATAGATATAAAATAGTTTGTTTTGTAAAATAACTGTTTCACTTTAGAAATAATTTGGATTTTTAAAATGTAATATGAACACGATCTTTGAATAACTGCTTCTCTTTCTATCAAGGTTTGTTCTTTTCAGAGTTACCTTACTTATGCATTTTTCACTTGTATATTTAATCAATTAAGTAATTACTTTTCAGGTAGTTCAATTTATTGTTCACTAAAAAAAGATAAAATACCCCTAATGACAGTGCATAGCTTTCTCCAAGGTGTGTGTCTTCATTTTAGGTAGCCTCTGACCTAGATGGGAGACTTCAACATTGCAGATATATAATATGCATCCCCAGCAAAATTGCCCGTAGGAATAACTTCATTATTCTGGGAAGCTAGATCTATAAAACATGTAAAATGTAGAAGTGTTCTGCCTATACAATTTCTGGTAAGTACATCATGACTAAGTGATAAAACCTGAGTCAGCTTCAGTTAGAGCATACCTTACTAAAACTTTTATTGTGCCATGAAAGAAAAAGGAAATATAGTGGGCAAAGGTGTCTTCTCCAAAGTAATGGGCTATTTTATATCTATACAGTTCTGCCTCGATCAATGGACAATTAGCTCTGGAAGCATTTAGTGGTATAGTGTACCAGTTAGTCATAGAAACTCTATGTTATAGTAGCATGATGAGAAGGAAAAACTCACCAGTACCACGGGACAGATTGTTGTGGGTGGTAAAATATGATCCTTCAAAGGTCCACAGTCACATTCAGGCTTTAGATGAGAAGCACATTTATTATGCAGCTAGGAAAGGAGAAAGAGGACACTATCAAAATTTGCATGACAACAGCAAATATGGGGCAGATTATATTTCAACTGAGAGACAGCAAATATATTAAAAGTACATTAAAAGAATTACAAGAACAAACAAACAAGATCATAAAGAGATTCACATAACATTTTCTCTTATATATCTACCTTAAGTAAACCATTTAGCAACTTCCATGACCCAGCCAATATAGTTTCTAATTCTCAGAAATGTTAATAAAGTACTTTAGGTTTTACACCAAAAAAGCCTGATTTATTTGACAAACACACAATATTGTCCATTACAGTCCTTCATTTGCTTATCTGTTAGCATAATCTTGAAATCACTGTGCACTGTGGATGCCGTTTTTTTTTTTTTTTTGACCCTCTTGTTTTCTCAAAGTCACTCCAAAGTGCACAGCTCAGTATGGGGCATAATTGATCCCATCATTAGTTTTAACTTTGTAATTCAATATGTAAATGCAACCAGAGATTCATCTCAGTAGGAACAGGATATAAATATAAGATGATTATCATTATAAAAATGTATCTTTATATTGTATTTACCAGCTATATATTAAGTTAGTTTATAATCATATAATGTGTTATTTACTTTTCAACATATATGAACCTAAACTGATATTTTTATCAACCTTGGTCACAAGTTTAAATTAAGATGTCATAACACAGTGAATTAAATAATGATTTTTTTAAAAATTTAGGTAGTAATTTTTTATTGGAATCATACAGATTTGTGAAAGTAACAGTTGTTTAAAGGCATCTAGGATTTTCTCCCTCTCCACATCTTATCAATTCAATTGAAATATCGTACTTTAGAAAAACTATATATGTTAATAAAATAACGTCTCATTCAAAACAAACAAAAAAAGCTGCATCATTTTTCAATTTTGAACCAAACGCCACCCCAATGAAGTCATTGGTACATTAATTTTCACAAGAAATTTACCTTTGTAATAGTTAATTAGTAACCAAGCATAGGAGTCCAATGAGTGTTAATTTATTGTTGGTGATAGAACTCTGTTGAAGGGGGTATTTCTGTTGTCCTTCAAGCTAAAGTATCTGTCAAGCTAACTCCTGCTTTGTAGTTAAGGCGCTTATATTATAACTAATACACATTAGGCCACATTAGATGAAATGAAAGTACCTTTGTACGTTCGTCCACAATTAACAGCTCTGCTTCTCAGTGGCATGTAAACTCCTTCTAAAGAAGTGGTTTAATCAAATCAGCCACTGCAGATCTCTGTCAGCAGGCAACACATGATGAAGATAAAGAAGCAGTTGCGGCCACATGAAAAACAGAACTAAACAAATGGACACTCTGATTGGGCACATGCAAATGCATGGTTTCTTCAGAATAAATTATTTTAAATATACAATTATTTTTCAGACTTAATCTTCTTAGAATACATTATGGCCTTCGGATTTTGGATTTAGAGAAAATGGATTACCAAGTGTTATGTGTTGAATTGGGTCCCCCAAAAGATATGTTGAAGTCCTAACTGCTAGTACCTATGAATGCAAATTAAGATATTTGTAGATGTATTCAAAGTTCAGATGTCATTATTCATAATTGGTTTGATCCCTAATCCAATGACCGGTGTCCTCATAAAAAGAGAGAAATTTGGACATAAAGCGATAGACATGGAGGGAAGATCATGTGACATTGAAGCAGAGATTTGGTGATGCAGCTGCAAGTCAAGGAATATCAAGGATTGTGATCAACCACCAGAAAGTAGGAAAAGAGGCAAGGAAGGATTCTTCCCTACAGCCTTCAAGGGGGAGTATGGTCCACCTGACATCTTGATATCAGAGTTCTAGCCTCCAGAACTATGAGAGAATACATTTCTATGTAAGTCCTTCATTCTGTATTATTTTGTCATGGCAGTCCTAGGAAACAAATATACCAATAACCATAAAATTGAACCAGAACCAAAGACAGATTATGTGTTGTAAGGCTCTTCTGTGCCGAGCATTACAGAGAAAAAGCTTTGCTTTCCGATCCTAAGAAACCACTTTAAAACTGAGAATGCAGGCTCTAAGAAGCCCCTACAAATAGCAAGGTACAAGATTAAAATCCTATGTGTACAGAATGAGAAAGTACACTGAATTTTTCATCTTGACTGAAGTTTGTAAAGCCTCACATATGACTCCAAAGGACAAAAGGGCAGGCCACTCTGAACCTCTAGCCAGTACTGACCACAGATCTGTAGTCTGAGGGCCTCAGCCTCCTCCATGTTTCCGTTCCATGTATTTCTAACAATTTGTAAATGATATGGTTAAGAATGACTGGCCTCTCTATATAGTTATTTGAGGGTTAGCAGAGGTTAAGACGAGATAGCGAAAATAAAATAAACTTTATAACAGCTTTTTTGGCATTTAAAATAGTTTCACAGCCCAAAAGAAAGAACCGAGGACTCAGGTAGAATCACACAGCTGATAAGTTGAACAGTGTGTCTATACGGCAGTATGAGGGTTTCAGAATACAGGTACCAGCAATTGGTTCCATGAAATAGCAATCTCTGCACAGCTAGGTTAAACTAGCCTGGGATATTCCAGTTTGACTGTTATGTGGCCCATATCTGTTAGGTCTGCCTAGGGAGCTGAGAGGCAGAGTCCTGCAGGAAGATAAGTGTGTAGCAAATTCTGTATAAGAAGGTCGATAACCATCAGTGACACAGGGACACATGTGCAAGAAAATTTTCCTACCCAAGAAGTCTATATTGACTAATAATGTACAAGGAAACCTTATATTTTTATTAAGACTGAAACTGGCAGCTGGTAAATGTATCTGGTGGCCATTCACATCTTGACATTGTCCGCAAGCAGAAATGTCAAAGCTGAAGACACCATGTTATAACTATCGATCATTCTACAGGCTGTGAATTAAATTTGTATAGCAGTCTAGTTTATTCATCATATTGCTCAGACATATAGTTGAACACAAAATATAAAATGTGAAAGCCAAGAGAAAATACATATAGTCCCCAAAATATTTATCAACATGAAAAGTAAAAATTATTTTTGCTGTGGACTTAAAAGTACTCTGGAAAAAAAAGTCTACTAAAAAAAATAAAGAGCAAACAATCGACAAAATGGCCATTATGTAATAGAATTTAAAAGCCCCTTCCCCCCCCCAAAATCTTAGGTCACTGGTAACGTTATGTTTCTTGATCGGGTGCTAGTTAACATAGGATGCTCATTTGTGCAAAATTCTTTCAACTCTACCCTTATGATATTTGTACTTTTCTGCAAGTATGTTATTTTTCAATAATTTTTTTAAAAAGTCACTTTAACTTGTCACCATGACATTTTACAGCAAGCATAAAAGAAAAAGATACAACTAAGCTCTTCTCAGTGTCAATAAGATGCCAAAGACTGACAATTGATGTAAAGATAACCCAGGTCCCAAGTCAGCAAAAGTGTAAAGAACCTCATCAAGAATAGAAATAAACCAGAGCATTGATGAATCCTGCCTCTTCAATAAAATGATCAATGGAGTCCCAGAGAAAAGGAATTGCTATCTTTTTAAAAATGTTTTTATTTTTGTCCGTGGTTCTCTTTGCAAAGAGTAAGGCTTAGAAATCCTCAGGTCATTATTTTATTGTATGCACAGAAATTCCCATTTATGTTAAGAGAATCAGTCCCATATCTAGGAAATCCAAAATAGTATAAACCGGCTTTTTCTGGAAGTGAATTAAACACTTGGAAATAATTTCAGAGTTTACGGCAATTTTGAAAAGCACCTATTTTAGAGCCAGTTCTATGTTTATTGAAGTAAGTTGTTTCAAGTTAGGGAGGATAAAGAAAATGTGTGTAAGTGTGTGTGTACGTGTGTGTGTGCGTGTGTGTGTGCGCGCACATTTATGAGATGGAGTACAGAAAAACGTGGTAGTATCATATTGATAAGAAAGCAGTAGACTCTAAGAAGTCAAGAAAAGAATAGAAAAGAAATTTTTGTGAGAATTTGGAGGGAAATAAAGAGAAATGTCATTCTAAAAAAAACTAAGTGATTTAGAAGAACATTTGTTGGTTTATTTATACATTCTTTTGTCTCTTCTAATCCTTTGCAATTTCAGGATACTGCCTTGATGCCAGTATTTGCTAAGGCATAATAAACCTTTCTATTGGAAAGATATTGAAAACTTTTAAACATTACTGTTAAGACCTCAATATTTTAATAAAAGTAGTAGCCCTCCATGATACTAAAGGTAAACAATCCATAGCTGCAATATAGGCTTCCTTTAGTTAAGCTCAAATAAAATGTATCACCCTCCTATTCTGGTGAATCCTGCCTGACCAGCGACATTTTACTACAGCCAGGAGCAATTACAACATGTTTTAAATAGTATGTCAAGAAAATCCACTCGTAGCATAAATGAGCAGTTATAAACAGTGTGATCTTAAAGATCATGAGATGTAAGCAAAAGAAGAAATAGAGAGCCAATGAGAACAGTTAGCCTGAATGATTGAATTATTAAGCACAAGAAAGTAGTTGCCTAAAGGTTAGAAGGTAGGTTTCAATGTTCTTACTTAGGATTTTTTTGTTTTTATTTTTTTGACTGGTTAGATTTGCTAAAGAAGACAGAACTCAGTTCTAAGAGCCTATATTTATGGCTACATGATGGCAAAATAATATAATATCAAGAAGCCACTGGTATTGACTAAGAAAAGGTGTGTTAAAATGGGTTTATCTAAACTAAGTTGTGTATCTGATACAGACTTGAATATTACATGTTTTTTAAAAAATAGAATTTAAATCATTCATTTAAAATTCAGTGTTAACAGTAAGAAGAGTAGTATATCAGTCATTAAAGTGAAGTTATTGAGGACCTCCTCAAAACTCAGAACTCCATCAAGAACTTGAGTGATTAGGAAAAATGTGTATATTGGACAAGAGCTGAATCAGACTGTAGTCTAGCAGTGTGAACAATGTAAGCATGCAGATATACAACCACTGGAAAGCACTTCAGCCTTTCCTTTTGGTGTGGATTAAAAATATAGAAAGTATTCAGAAAAAGAAAACAGTGTCAAAGAAAATTTCAAGGGAGATAGGGAACTTATTGGTTCTTCGGGTGTAGTCAGAATTTAAGGGGGCTGCATTTAAGAGAGCAGAGTGAGCAAGAAAACAGGTAGAGGGGAAGCATGGCCTTCCCAAGGGACTGTCAAAAAATATGCACAGCTACAGCAGGGGCTATGCATAGAGAGGATATTATATATGTCCTTTAGGATTGGGTATGGTATTTGAGTAACTGAAAACCAGGTTGGGTGAAAGGAGATTAGGGCTGCATTTATTATTACAGAGCTATTATAGGTTGCTGAAGGTGACATATGATAACAAACTAGTATTTTCAGAAGATGATTCTGGAGGTGGTTCACAGCCTGCATTATAGGAAAAGTACCTTCTGTTAGGGAGATAAGCCAAGACACTCTGATCTAATCTAGTTAAGAGGTGCTAAGAGTTTGCACTTGGGCTGTGAACGATGGAGACAAAAATTCAAATCTGAGAGAGATATTTTAAGAAGGAAATTTCAAGGCTCAGTGATACGTTGACTATATGAGATAAAGGTGAAAGACAAGAATAAAGTAAATTGACTTCTAACTCTATTTCCAATGACTACAAGCATGATGATATCATGTCTCATAGAAAAGAGTTAGAATAGTTGCCACTTGTGAATATAAATATTCAGTTTAGTCTAGAATATAGAGAGATTCAAGTCCACGGGTTTCTTTTACTGGGCAACTACAGATCCTTCCAGAGGTGACAGAGAAATGACATGAATGATATTCATGGCGTGCCATCTGAGAACCAGGAACTGGGTTTTGTGCCCCAGCATGATATTTTACCTAGTTTTCCCTATGATAATAATTGTCAATTACTGAGCACTTGTTATGTATGAGGTCCTGCCCTACATACATCTGCACAAACATTTTTCTACTAATTTAATTATTATAACAATCCTACACTGATAGGTATTTTAACTATTGTGTAAATTAGGAAAATGTCCTAAACCTTTACATACCTGTCCCAAGACTGCACAACTACTATCTTAGTTGTTGGACAGAGATCATCTTAAGAATATAGTCAGTCTGTCTTATAAGACTCAAGCCATTTTCAAAAGCAACATATAAAAGGAAGTAATGGCATTTGGAAAACTCAGAAATGAAGTCAAGGTTCATTCTTTTTATTTCTCTCCATAATCTATACCTCCTGGCCTTCATTCATATAGGCCCTCCTAAAGCTCCACATTGACGGAGTCATATCCCATCACCTTCACAGCTTCTGCTAGATCTTTGCATCAATAGCACTTTCTGGGAAGTATAAGAACATAGGAAGTAGGTTCAGTTTGTTTAAAGACAATCAGTAGCAGTAGGTAAGCATCAGTCAAGAGCAAATCAACTTTATACTAAAATTTTCAAACAATGGTTAAATAAGAAGCTGTAGATTGTACTAAATATATAAATGTTTAGAAATAAATTATTCTAACTTAAGCACAAAATCAATAAATTAATGAATGTGTTCATAATTGCTTTAAAAAAATCCAAAAAATGCATAAAAGTTAAAGTTACTTTTAAGAAGGCTATATATTTTCCTGAATATGCGAAAACTTTTTTTTTTTTAATATTGTGCAAGTCTTGTTTCATTAACCAAATACCCAGGGGACCCTTGGAAGTCAGGGTTTCACCAAATAAAGTTGAGGTAGGCCAGAAGTCTCAGGACTTAAGACAGCTTATGAAGACAGCAACTATTTTTTTTTTTTCTAACTCCACCTTAAACCCCAGTGTTTCCTCAATGGCCCTGTTTCCTGAGTAGAGCTCAGGGATTTAAAAACAATTATAGATTATACTGTGCTCTGTCACAGTGAACAAATAAAATCATCTTCATGTACACATTGATCTTTAGTTAAGAATAAGATGTTAGGTCATGTTGTCTGAATTGATTCAGACATAAAATCCTTATATTTTAAAAAATACAGTTTATTCTGAGGCGATACCTCTTTCTTATAAAAGGAAAGGCCTAATTTCTTGCAAGGGCAGGGCCAGGATCAAGACCAAATATATAAGTATAAGTAGTGAGCAGATGGGCTAGAAATATAGATTTTGGAGTCGCAGATTAGGGGAACTGTTAAAGAAATAAAATGAGAAAAACAAGATGACATATAAAACAAGAAAAGAATTTCAAGCTGTCTTGAGAACCAGTAAGAGACTAGCAATGGCAACTTTGAGAAGAGTGATTCCCATAGAATGCAGAAGCCAGAAGATATACTTCATAAAGATTAAATGGAGAAAGGAGGAGAAGAGTCAAATAAAGAAAATTCTATAAGCTCAAAAAACTTTTATATTAGGAGAGGTAGCAATGCATATTTTTAGAGTGTTCAAGCTGAGTATGCATTTTAAATACATTGATTATTTTAAGAAATAGAAAAAGTAAAGAAAAAATAAACTTAAGACATTGCTTTTGAAACTTAAGAAGAATGGGCAAATAACTTAAAATTCAAAGAAGAAATCAATTCTGATATCCTTTAATTTCAGTTTATGATAAAAATATAACTAATGAATGATGCACTGTATGCAGAAAACAAGAAGAACAAGCTCCTACAAGATCTGAAACAAAAATTACATATTTTATAGATGCTTAGCAAAAAAAAAAAAAAGCAACTTTTTAAATGTGCATAGATTTTTTAAAAATAGTTGTGGTTTTCTTAAAACTGAAAACTCAATATGTTTTAGTAATTTATATGCATTGTTTAAATCATTGTTAGACATTATAAAAATAAACACTCCAAAAAATCAAACTTTCATAATTGAGAAAATTTCAAATGTAAATATAATTTAACTAAGTAATAGCTGAACATGATTGAAGAAAATATGTTCATTTAAAAAAAGGACTTAATTTTTTTTTTGAAATGCAAGTCACAGTTTGTTTTCCCATTACCTTCTATGTACGTGTGTATTTAAGAAAAATAATTAAATGGTGAAGGCGAGTTGAGGTACACTACAGAGAAACTTATTTGCTTAACTGAAACAGTGCTCCCTACTATTTTATTTCCACAAAAATAAGAACTATCACAAGAGGACTCAAATATTAGCTGGAAAAAAAAAAACAATTAGAGAAAATACACAAAACCCCAGTCTCATAAATGTTTTTGTACTCTATTGTCAAAAATGGCTATTCTTGAAATTGAACATCCTAATCAATCTCCAGAAATTAAACATGACATACTAGAAGTACCAACTAATGAACTCAAAAACAGGCTTAAACAATCATGCAAACCAAGTGGAGTCCTTAAGTGTCCCAGCAAAGATGGATTTACCTCTTCTTTTTCCATTATCAATACCATAAATGAGTTTACTGTTGTATCTCTTACCCTTCAATTTATGATTTAACTGAAGGAACAAGGCAACAACATATTGTGAAGAGGGTAAAGTGAGTTCTTAGAAGCATCAAGAACTAAAATGTGAACCCACTTGAATCTCTATGTAGCCATGTGGTCAAGGAAAATTGAGCTTTGGTCTTAGGAGCTTCATTATATAATCTTTGGACCACATTGTTTATTCTTCTATCCTGTGATTAAAATGAATTCACAATATGTAAAACAAAAAACTCTACCAAAATAGGGTTGTGGAGTGGAGGGAGATCTAAACGCTACCTAGTCAGTATCCAATGCTCATTGGCCATCCCTAGCTGTGGCTTTTGATTACCTTCCCGGTAAACTCCTAGGGCTCCAGGAAGCACAATTTGAAAACGTTAGGATGATATCATCTCCAAAATTGTCACTAGCTCTAAAATTCTTAATTCTATGAGGACAAATCTGACTCTGATCTTTATCTTTTTAGGAGCCAGATAAAATAAGAAACTTCATGGTTTTATCTTGACTTAGTCTGAAATTCAAAATGATCTTTCAGGGTCAGACTCTTGAAGAGGATAAGATACACAGTCTTTGATGTGAGTGGATACTAGAGATTTATTTTCCAGTGTTACTCACTGTGATCTGACACCAAACACAATGCAGTCCTGTCAGGCCCTGGTAACATTTAACAGTTTTGTGGCACTTATCACACTTGGTTGGGCAGTTGCCTTCAACCCAGTAATGGTGCATGACCTAGAAGAAAATAAGAGCATTGCGGTAAGAAGAGGAATCCATAAACACCCTCGGAAAGCCGACACTGTCATACACTTACATCAGTGTTCTTCTTGGACTTCACATAGGTCTTGATGCAAGAAGGAGGCGCCCTCGCTACACAGCGCTCATGGACTGTGTACTTGCAGACTGTAAAGGAAACATGTACACAAATTCAGAACTAATCCTGAACTTGATTGCAATTTTATAGGGTAAAAATGACATTAACAGAACCTCATTTCATATCCACTGCTCCCTAATCAATTCAATCAGCCACATCAGGGAAAAATCCAAGTCGACTGTTTTTACCATAGAATGCAAAAGGCCAATTAGTACAGGAAATATTATGCATGTGAAAAACCAAGACTCCTCTATCATGGCATAGCAGGAAATGCTTAATTAAATCAGACCTCCCTCAAATTTTTCACAATAATTTCCAGATGACAAAAATATTAAAGACAAATTGATGACTGCCAAATGGCTTGGTGTCATTTGCTAGAAGAAAGAGATCTATATTTTACAAAGTATAGGCATGAGAGCAGCTGGAGGGCATGGGAATAAAAGCCCATGAGTTTATGCTATTTGTCTATTGATTTATATAAACCTTAAATGGCTGATTAATCTATTTCCAGAGAATAGATGTCATCATATGTGCTAGGCTTAGTAACAATTCATCCCTCATTTGCCATCATGGAACTATTTGTCCAAAAGGAACAACTTTTGTTAGGCAACATATAATATACATACATATGCAAAATTTTATATTTATATGCAAATATGCATCTATACACATGCAAACATATATAGGTATGTGTGTGTTTTATTGGTATCTTCAAATTAGTTCATGGCTTGATTCTGAATATAACTTAGGGTCATATGCAGATGTTCTTTGAATAAAACACTTGTTTCAAATTACGGTTCTAGATGCATAAATACATAGAATAAAAATTAAATCAAAAAAGATCATGTAGCCTTTTTAATAAAACGAATAAAAACTAACCACTTCATAAAATTAGAATGAAAAAAACTAAATCAACATAATATTTATATAGTAAAATTTTTCCAAAATAATCATATCTGTGAGTTCCTTTGGTAACACTGAAGGAGAAAACATACTTTTCTTCTCTTCCATGTTGGCAATAAAATTAAGAGTATTACATTTGCCACATTAACCAGTTAAAATTTGTGAGCAAAATTCTCTCTCTCACCTTACCTGAGGGTTATCATTTTGTTTCTTATGCTCCCATCAATAGAATCTTTAATAAAAAATTATTTTTCTTAAAAATAGAACTTTAAAAATAAAGTATTTCCTTAGTATATGGAGAACGTTCTAGCATAACTAGCCTTTTAAATGTAGCCACTAGAAACTGCCCTTTGAAGTTAACACCTGGCAATTTCATGTCACCTTATTAAAATCCTTAAACACTTCAGAAATCACTGAAATGTGGCAGAGACATGTTTTTTTAATGTCAAATAATACATGTGAGAGAAAGTTAATTCCTATATGACCTAAGAAGCTGATAGCTGAAAATAATACCTAAAAATGACATACTGTATGGAAGCCAAGTGAGAAATTAGACTTAATATAAATACACAAACACGTAATGTGTTTAAAAAACTTGACAGTTTCATAGCAGAAAAGGGTGTAGATAGTCAAACTGCTGGACAACTTCACACTTTGGTGAGGAGTATACAGTATACCCTCTGTTTTAAGAGGGGCATCAGGAGATATAAAAGTTTTTCAGGAATAAATGAGGTTGACTTAAAAATACTCAGGCAACTTACAAATTAATTGTAATGTAAACTATTAGAAAATTCTAATGAGCAATGTTCACTTAATAGACTACAATAAAAATTGCAAAGATACATATACTGGAATGAAAATGGCCACAACTTATGAACTAGCTATGCTTTGGGTTCCAAAATACCCATTAGCCATATGTGAAGATTTTCTTCATGATAGGATTAAAATAAAATGCCTAAGGTGTAAGATTAGTTTGTATTTCTTGTGATTTCTTAGTTGAACTGCAAACTGATAATCAATTGATTTAACTTTTTTTTTTTTTTTTAAGACCTGAAGGAACTGACTCATTATGAAAAGTCATTGTGAATAAAGTAGCTAACTTGGGGAAAAATAAGGATAAAAATGAGCAAGATATGAGAAACTAGTAAAAATTTTTATAACAATCTCCATAGAAATGAGACTAAGGAATAAATTAAACTACAATTAAACAACAACAAAAAATGGCTAATAAATTAGAAAATGTCTTTAGCTTTTGTACAAGGGAGGGTTTCCCAAAACTGTAGAAAAGTAAAGCTAAAGTGACCTAAACATCCAGAATTATACCACAGGGAAGCATAAATCATAGTTACTGGAAGGCTCAGAATTATTCCTTAGTTCTCCATCTACAAATAGGACCATTCCATAAAAATCGACCTTTTCTCACTAGAGGTGATGATGTCCAGGCAGTAAAAACATACTCACAGGAACAGCAGAGACCCTGCTTCCCCACACCAATCAGCATGTTCAGGCAAAGATTGCAATAGGCAGGTTTGTTAAAGTGCTTGAGTCGCCACACATGCTGTCCGTCATCTTTCACGTTCTGCATGGGACGTAAGAGAAACAGATTTCACTTAATGAAATAAACAGTGGAATGTGTAGGTGCCAATAAAATTCAGAGCTGGACTGAAGCATTTGAAGACAATCTGTTATTTCATCTCTAATTTTCTCCAAGATCACTACAGAGTCTAGAAAAACACATGTGCTCTAGCGGAATGAGACCCTGGTAATGAATCTTGGGGTGCTATAGCAACCCACAAATTCTCATCTAATGTCAATAGTTCAGCAGCATGTCCCAAACCATCATAATGACCTGCCAAACAGAGGGATGTGTCCACCTCAAGTTTGAATACTTTATCCTTAGCACAATTCCAGAAACCAACAAATGAATAAAGGGGGGAAAAATGAATAGAAGGGCCTTACAAATAAAAACTTGGAAAAAATATGTTAACACTTGCTTAGTAGTCAATGCAAATTTAATGATGGTCGTTATGTCTTATAAAAAGGCAGAAGGATAGGATGAGAAGCAATAATACTTAAAGGTCAGTTATGGGTGGTATTCTAAGGCTTTAATTGAGAATTCTCTGTTACAGTTTATTTAAATATAGTTTTGTATGTCTCAATGGTAAATTTTAAAAGATAAGCTTTTTTAGTTTTATTTTTTTTTCTTCTCTTTAATTCCCCTCACCCCCCACCCCACTTCCACCCTTGACCTAGGAATGTTGCTGTTTCTCCTTAAGAACTGGATCTCTGAAAGTGGGGCATCTCCTCCCACATGTTCGCAGGGTGCACCCAGGGCCTGGCACCCCCGGAGTATGGTCCACCTAGGGCACGAATCCAGAACCTTCTGCATGTAAAGCAGACGTGCTAACCAATTCACTATGGAGCCACCCCAATAAGCTTTTTTAAATATCTAAATTATATCATCATTTTGTTTTCTCCTTTTTTGTAAAATATGAATAATTTTAATTTCATAGAAAGGTGGTCAAAATATTAAAACTGTATTACTGTATTTATTTATAACATTTATATTTATTTGCAAAAATAAATCTTGAATTTAAATTAATTCACATTTTAGCCGAGCAACTGTAATTATTATTTATTCTTCCAAGTAAAACTGTAAAATATCATAACAGCTGCTTCACTAATAGGCATTTAGTCACATTTGCACTGTTCAAGATTAAAGTGAAATAATATGATGCTATTGAATGCCTTGAACTCCTTACAAGATGTTTAAATGTATTGAATACAGTCACTATACATCATTATTTTTGTTACCACCATTTTCTCATTAACATATAGTTCTTGTATACCATTTACTAAATTGTATCAAATTCAATTAATTTTAGATATCATTTATTGGTATTCTATAGAAACCATTATAAGACATAATTTTTCACATTAGTCGAGTTGTTTTATTTCTTAGAATACATTCACTTAATAAATTTTTGAACACTTACTATGTGCCAGGATACTAAAACTAATTCTGTAGTAGTGGAACAGTATAAACGTGTCCAATCATCTTGTTTCTCTCGATAAAAATCATGTATCAATAATATCCCCTAACTATTTTTTCTTATTCTCAGTCAAGAGATAAACCATTGTATTTGTAGTACTAGGTTAGATCCATAGTGACTAATTCTTATATTAGAACCAGAAATGTCAAATTTATCATAATATGCAACTAGTGAAAATGCTTCTTGGGAGATAATTCTCCATGGGTCCCTTATATTTCTGCATATTTTATAAGCATAGCTATCTTTTTTTTTTTCCTATGCTATCTTTCAAACATGTTTGAAAACAATCTTGGATAACAGAGATATGTATCACTAAGGAGCCTAAGGAGGATAGATTTACTTACTGTTCAGTAAAATAAAAATCTCTCCCAATTCAGCAAAGGTTAAGCAGGTTTGTTTACTGCACATTATTAAAAAAAAAAAAAAAAAAAAGTTAGTTTCCCTAAAACAGGGTTCCAAGCTCTGAAGGTGTGTACAGCAAATACTTGGGCCGTAATCTACCACCCTTATGAGGCTTCATGGGCCAGGAGAGAACTGGCTCAGGCATGAAGCTCCTACTGCCTGCTTTGTTGAGAGTTAAAAAGTACTTTGTCTCTGACCTAGGAATCTCACGACCTCTGCCAGCATCCAGAATGAAACTGTGACAAGCTAACTTTTTAACTCGTAAGTGGTCTAAATTTCAGACCTCTTCACAGTTCTTGACAATGCTCAGAGATTCGTTTTTCTGACAACTAACAAGCTCTCGACAAAAGCAGTTATGCTGAAGGTGTCATGGAGAGGACTTTAGAAGACTTCAGTGTTTTAATTTTCTTCCAAAACTTACAAAATAGGCTTTGCAGTAATATCTGGATCTAGCTCTGGTTTGTTTGAGTCATAAGGTTTCTAGTATGTTTAATATATAAATAGAAAGCTTTATGTATTTATTTAACTTCTATGTTCTTAAATTTCTATTCCTTCAAATAAGAATAAAACATCCTGATGAGAAAAGTTTAAGTAATGGAGTTGTTAATTTTTTTAAAAACATGTTGATAAAGTTAACAGTTTAATGCTTAAAGAACATTTACATAAAAAGGAGAAAGGAATACCACAATTTTCATATGTATTACTGTTCTTATAATCCTTGTCATTTCATTTTTAAATGATTGTCCATTACATGTGAATAAGCCTCATCCTGTTGAAGAGCACATATGGACTAAGTTAGCTGGCATTTTCCTTATCAAAAAATAAACAAGTCTGAACGTGGGTGTTCTGTCAATCAGAACACTTAGCCATGTTACAGGCTGCAACTGATGTACAAATCCATTACCCAGACATAAAATGCTTTACCAAAAAACAAATTAAATAGCTTTATAGCTCTTAGCCGGATATATTGCCAAAATATGCAAAAGATGAAATATGTATGTGACTTCAAGAGAAAGAAATTGAAACCAGGAGCCAACTACTTCTCAGCAGTGCAAATTATACTCCAACTCCGTATTTTCATGTCTTGTCTTGTTTGTCATATTTAGATTGTAAACTTAGTGGAGGAGGAGGAGATTCTGTCCTTGCAATATTGTATCAGCTAGTCGAGCATATTCCTATTAGTACTTCTATTGCAAATAAATATTTATTGTCATAGAAAGGAATTAATTTTTATAAGAAAGAAATGAAGAGGAAATCTAGAAGGCTGGGGCCCTGGCCTACTCTGAAAATGTGGATAAGCCATTTTACTTTTCTTCTTATTTTCTTCTCTAATAAAATGAAAGTACCCACTTTCCTTGCCCAGGCCGTGGTGTGAGGTTTCATTATACAATACCTGTGAAGTCAATTTAGCTCCTCAGAAGACTGGTGTTATATAAACAGCAAATATTATTACCATCAATGGGTTGACTTGTATAACATATCAAAGTTCCAGCCAAAAGATATGAGGGATGTTTGTAAGTTTACCATACTTTATTTCAGAAAAATTGTGTTCTCATGATTTTTTCATCATTGGACATTATTCTTAATAGAAATTTATTCCTGATATGTATTGAACATAATATTTTACAATAGAGCCGTTAGTCCTGTGTTTATGACAGGGAAATGCTTACGTTCTCAGAGAGGAGCCCCAGGTTCTTCCTCTCTTTCTAATCCCCTAGAATTCAAAAGGTTTCAAAGGGGAAAATGCCCTTTAGAACTTTTGAAATCTATTTCATTATCAATAGTAATTTCTAAGGTTTTAGTTTTTCCCTGAACACAGTCAAGATCACATATAGTATTTACCTGAACTAGGGCTACTCTAAATAACATCATTTTTTTTTTAAAGACTTCAAGGAGAAATTTCACTGATGTCACAGCCAAAATGTCCCTACCCCCACGCCTAGCCATATCCCCACTTAAACTGACTTCACTTATAACACAGAAGAGCTAACGTTACAAGTTAATTCCAACTCATTAAATAATAAGCACCATTAAATTACCTTACTATTCTGTTCAGGGTCTCCAAAAAGGTATAACAATATGAAAGAAACTATTCTTTTAGACAGAATGATGAGCTATATCAGGTGTGGGCAGAGAGAATGAAGACACGAGTTTTAAAATTCTGGAATTAACCGCTTATCTCATCACACTTTCTGAAGTCAGTATAAGATCCTGCCATTCTCGAGGTTCAAATGCAAGTGCAACAGTGCATTAACATCACACTGTCATTTTCCTTAAATGATCTAATCTGGAATCTCAAGAATTGTTGCATTTATCCAGCTTTAGAACTCCTTTCTAGATCGAGCAACATATAAACAGCAGAACAACAACCTGACCATATTAATTTTTAGAATGTAGAGTATAAAACATTAGTTTTCCAAATACAACTTAATCTGTTAAGAATACAACATCTTCTACTCTCCATTATAGTCAGAATTTTTATCATGGAACATGTTAATCTGAAATCAGGAGGCAAACCAAACAATTACTTTTACCTTATTGAGTCAGACCAAAAAAAAAAAAAAAAAAAGTGTCCTAAAACATTTCAATCAATGGCAAAGTTTAAACTACCTTTAAGGATTAAAGACCAGGATTCTGTGTGTACTTATAGTGAAATCAAATTTATATCCATTCAAAAATCATACAGGCCAGTTGTGGGCACAACAATCCAAAACTAAGAAGTTAAGGTATCCTTATTTCAAGGCAGGCTCCTACTTAAATGTATATTCCTGTTTATATAATGATAAGAATTCAGAAATTTTCCTTGAAAAATCTAATAATGACCTAAGACTACAGGTTTTAGGAACTAAAGCATTATTAATTATCTTGTTCTTCTAGGAAAAAGAATATCTGTACTGAAAGAATATTATAAAAGGAAAAGGATATTCTTGACTAACTTCTCTTTGTATGTCCAGAGAGGATACCTAGTAGGCACAAAATGACCTAGTTAGTTAATCACAGAGTGTAAAGACCAATTTTATGAAGTTCACTGTTGTTACGCTATCTCTTCATTAGTTCTCATGCCTTGCTGGGGTTGTCGATTTAAGCTAAAACAAAAAAGTATTAGATTTCTTTCTTCTAAATCACTAAAAATACATTCAAAATCTTTCTGTTTGTAATATGACAGATTAGTCATAGAATAAACCAGGAGTCAGCAACTATGGCCCTTGAGTCAACTCTGGCCATTAACCTGTTTTTCTAAGCAAAGTTTTACTGGAACACAGCCTGTTCTTTCACTCATGTAGTATCTGTGATTATAAAAAGAAAGAGATAATCCTGACAAACTTTTCTTTGTATGTCCAACTTTTGCTTTTAACTTTAGAGTAGAGCAGTTACAACAGAGACAGTATGACCCACAGAGACAGTATGACCCACAAAGCCTAAATTATTAACTACCTGTTCCTTTATGGCCAAATTTTGCCAATCACCGGAGCAAAATTTTTTAGATACAGCTAGCTATTAAAAAATTCATTCAAAATTGAGATATTTTTAGAAATAATTATTCAATGAGATAATTGCTAAAGCAAAAATTAGTCAGTCTCAGGTACAAAATTTTTATTATAATCAAAATCACATATGCCACTTAAACTCTCAATTTTCCTTCAGGGGTAAGAGACTGCATCATTTCATATTGGGTACCACAAAGTTTGAAGAACTTCTTGTAAGAGAAAGAAAATGACTCTTATTGTCTATCACGTGATATACAATCAGGTTGTGATAAACTACTTTTCTAATTTTGGCACTGAAACAGATATTTAAAATAGAATAGCTTTTTAAATTCTGTTGATTAAGAAAAATAAACTACGATAAAATCACAGCTGCTCTGCTTTACATAAGGAGTGAGGATTTCTCTCCCAGGACAATATTCTTATCTGTGTAATTTGGCTAGTACACCACAGTCACTTTCAAATACACTATGGTACTTAACATGCACTGTCAATTAGCATCTACTCCCCGAGCTCATAATTGACAATAGACAAGAGTTTATAGGACAACATAAGAAGACTGGCCACACAATAAATGGCTGAATTCAACCTAAAGCTTCTAGATTTCCAATTTAATAAGAAAAAGTGGGAAGCTGAGGGTGGCCCACCGGGAATGGCACCATGAATCATATTCTCTACAGGTAATAGCATAACACATTAACTGTCTACAGAAAAGAAAATAAATCTTGATTACTTAAAAAAAAAGGCCTTCATCACTCAGTTTTCGTTATGCCATTCTTGCTTTGTAAAAAATAAAGAAAAGCCCTTATGCTTTGGAATTAAAGAGGTGTTTCTAACAAACATGCTCTGTTTTGTGATAATAATTACATGGTTTTTGCATTGTATTAAAAGCCATTTTAAAATACTATAGGCTTTATTCTTTTTTTAAAAAGTGAAGGAAAAGGGATATTACTCTCAGAATTGTTCTTTACAGGGGAAAAAGCCAATCTCTGTTAAATTGACCTATAAATTTAAAACAATGTAGCCCTGCCATCTAGTGGTCATAGCTGGGAACATAGCTTGGGAATACCACTCCTGTTACTACATGGAACCCCTAAGTTGATTGCTCAAAGAATATCTTTGAACTAAAAACACAAAATAAATTTAAGAATGTGATTATAAAGTAAATTATGTGTCACTAACCTGAAGGGCATCAATGGCAAAGAATCATCATTAGGTTGAAATAAAGTCACTGCTACACTAGAAACTGATAAGATATTTTATTTAAAATATTTCGAGTTAAAGCCATCTATATAGATTATTTTTCTCCATGCTATTTTCATAATATATATACATATATATAATTTGATATATAAGTGTACAGTTAGATATATATCAAATTATAAAAAATTGTTTCCAGAGAAAAACATCAATTCAAAATCTTTCTGTGATATTGAAAATATAGGTGACTTAGTCTACATTTCTGCACTTCTTTATCCAATTCCCCAATGACCAAATGCTTTGTTAGCTCATTCCTGCATCTTCTCTCATTCTTTCCTACTAGAATTTCCATAAATGCTTAGAATAAACAAAACATAGCTTTCAAAATAAAGAATTCCCTTCTATTATTATTAGAATTTCTTGACTAGTCATTTGACAACTATTTTTCAGTACTGAGTCCACACTAAACCTCAAAATGTTAACATTTTGTCAATTTTCTTGTTTTCTTCCAATAGTTTGATTTACACATGCTTTTTTCAGAAGTTATATTAACAAATTAAATAAATATTTATAATACAGATATATAATAAATTATTACAAAAAGATACTAAGTTATATATAAGAAAATTAGATACAAAAAAGATTACTCATAAATTTTCAAACTGTAGATTTATATATCTATTAATAATAAGATCTACATTAAATATTTATTTTAATAAATTTTTATTTCAAAGGTAATTTCCATATATCATTTAATAGTAATTTTTTGTTCCCTTCCTCTGACCACATCTAAAATCCCATAGACCTCGTGAAGGGTAAAATTTACCTGAATGTAAAATAATTTAAAGATCCAGATGAAAAAGAGACAAATGCTACTGTCCCAAAGTCCATTTATATATTTCCAAACCCACATATAAATATGTACAACATATCTGTATGCAGTCTTACATGTTTTACAAACACAGACTATATGATCTCTTGATAGCTGACTTTCGAAAATTTGGTATCTTGAGTAACTACGGTAAAATTTTAAGTCTGCCAAATTGTTATTGCTGGTAATAAGTATGAAAAGTGTTGGGGTCAATAGCAACGTGGTGGGCACTATTTTCTTGTATCTAAAAAATCTAAATATTATATGTGTCATGGTGCTTTCCATTAGTAAAGCTCTTTGAATCTAAGTATGCGTTTTACTATATGCATGTTATAGTTAATTCTTGTTTAAATGTTTATGCTAAAAACAAAAATGGTGTACCACCTCATTGGATTTTTAAATTAACTATTACTAAAATTCACATCAAGACTGGGACAGAAAGATTTGGTTTCAAAATCACTATCATATCACATCTGAACATGGGTTGATCTATTTTATTCCTCCAAACCAGTATTTAATTGCCACTGGAGGCACTGATATGAGAAGAAAACTTTAGACAGACTTAGAATGAAAACCTGGCTGATCTGCTGATATGTAAGAAAAACTTATACATAAACACATATGTTTTCTCTCAAACATCTCATTATATAATTGGCTTCTCCAAGTATTTATTAGTTATCAATTAAATAGACTATCTCCATAGGGATGGGAGGAAGAACCACAGAATGCAATAATATTGGGGAGTTTCTTCCATCAGATAAAAGGAGAAGGTCAATAACTTTTTAAACTAGATTATACTTTAAATAGATGAAAAATAGAAAAACTGTGTATTAAATAGTTAATACCTAAAAAATTTAATACCTAAAATGAGTCAATATGTCTGTGACAAGTATTACTACATAAGGAATTATTGTTAAATTGCACTGTGGTATACTTATTAAAAGGTCCAGGCATTCACTACATGCTTAATGGTTGAAAATGGCAAGATCAATTTATAATCAAAATGTATAATAAGAGACCCCACTGACTCACCACCAGGGCACCCTCTCTGTGTAAATGCTTACATTTTCCAAGCCTAGGAGAACAAGAAGTGGAATTGTTGTCATTCCTCCTTGGATCCATTCCTCCAGAGAAACCGTTCCATCGTGATCATAGTCAATTTCTTCCATCATTTCATGGAGGATCTGAAGTAGAGAAGTAGAGAGAAAACTGGCAATAAATCAACAAAGAAAATTTCATATGAACAATAAAGCATTGCATCAAATTGGTTATAACTGTGACTAGCAGCTAAGTGGAGAGTTGAGATAAATATCTAGGTAATTTTGTACAGTGTTAATTTAATCCTATAGCTGAGGATATAGTGGCTCTGTTATATTTCCAGAACTTGACTGGAAAGTTCTATGCACTTTCAAAGATCAACTTTTAGAAATAATTGCTCAACTTTATAATATGTTTTCACTGAATGACACAGCTAAAACAAGAAAGTATCTTCAATTTAAAAGTAAAAATGATCTTTAATTGCTTTCTCTAGATTATTTTTTTAATTCAAATATATGCCAGATACTGTCTGAACAAATTAACTTCATGGTAAAGAGCTGAAATAATTCTTTGCTAAGTGGTAAGAGGTGGGAGAATTATGTTGCTTTTAATTGCCTATCAGAACTTAATAGAGCCAAGAAGTTAAACAATCAAGTCATTTTTGATTAGATTTCTTTTCTAAAGATGACTTGCACAGAGTGTCCCAAGTTGTTGTCCACAGCTTAATACATTTATCTCACGGTTATACAGCGTTCATATCAGTATTTGATTCAAAGGGTTGTTGTGAGAGTTAAATGTGTTAGTATAAGTATCTTTGAAAAGTATCTAGCATATAGAGTAAGTGTGATATAGGTATTCTTAGTGTTATATTAGCAGAAATTATATGTCAACTCTAAATATATTACCCTTGGCTGATGTTAAGGAAAAGTGCTTATCTAATTCTGCTAAATCAACCAACATGGTAGAACTCCAATGAAGAAAATAATTCACCATCTTTATCTAATATAGACATTTTAATCAATGCAGAAAAAGAAAGAAGTACAGAGAACATTAGAATGAAAATTTGAAAAGGTGCAATAAATAGAATACTTAATATGATGATAGAAGTGTTGTTTGCTTAAAAAGTCCTAAACTTGATTGATTAGTATCTTACTTCAGAAAGTGTTTGAAAATCAGATTATTTAGCTATAGAACTAACTAATAGATATTGAAAGAGACTTTTTTGAACAAAATGATGGTGAAATAATTATTTCATTGTTCTCAAAATGAAACACGGGGGACATTACTTAGAATGTGGCAAATGCATAAGATCTCATTGAAATGCCTGCCCCTTGAAAATACTCTAGGGTGAACTAGGAGAAATGAATGAATGAGGAGAGAACAAAAACACAGAGCATTTGTTTTAGATGGCTGATGATTTTATTTTGTACCTAATAATTCTCATGTTGGAGCCTGGGTACATTTTGAAAAAATTCCTTTCAAGAACATCTTCCCTACTAAATGCCATCAACCTCAAACGTTCAATTCTCTTTATTCACATATGCCAACTTATCAGGGGCCTGACAATGTGTACAAATGCACACACTTGTTTAAAACAGGCAGAGTTACTGAATCATCAGGCAGGATGAGACAAGTTACTGTGACGGCAAACACAATGCACCAGGTAAGTCTTTTATCTTGACTTTCTAGTATTTATACCACCCAGAGAAGTAGCAGACTTACTTGCCTGGGCCATAATGCTAAAAGTTTATTACCTGTATTTTTCATTAGGTATTTATCATAATTCAACTGCCCAACCACCAATTGTTCCCTTCCTTAGAGCATCCGGATCTTCTCAAACTCAAGCCACTCACTCCACCGCCAACAAATACTTTTTGTTGGGAAGTGGTAATGCCCACTTCTGCTTTGAAAGCAGATGGAAAAAGACTCCGCTTCCCTCCATCACTCCAGTGAGGACAAGAGGCTTGACTGATAGATGAATGATATCATGGGTATTAAGGTGAATAGGATGGAGACCACTGTGTTAGATTAACATAACCAAAAAGAGCAACAGAATTTAAAAGAAGTCTCTTGATTTCAGTGCAAAAAGTATTAAGATGAATCAAGCAGTATTCTTGGAACTAAGTGCATATTGCCATAAACTTTATTATTTCATATACAAACTGCAACACTGTTAATATATCTTCCTCTCATTATACACAGCATGTGTATTTCCACATCCGAAAAAGAAAAAGGAAAAGAAAAAGAAAAAGAAAAAACAGTTGAGTTAGAACTTGGGAAACCATTTCCCAGTAAGAATGGTGCCCTCCTTTGTCCCTGGCATTGCACATGACTTTGTTTACTTTGCTAAGTAAGTTTGCATTAGTTTGGCATTAGTTTGCCAAAACAAGGGAAATGCTATCAGAGCCCTCTTCAACATCACATATTCATGCCATTATTACGCCGTTAACTGCATAAATGTGAACAGTGTTTAGAAATAGTCTTTTTGAATTCATATAAAATATAAACCACTTAAATTTATTTTTATTTGCTTAATTCATGTGCAATTTGCTAAACTTACTTGTTTAAAAAAAAACAACAAATTAATAACATTTATCGACTTGCCCAAAAATATTATTTGTGGCTAAAGTCAAAGTTTCTAATCAAGTATGTTTTAATATACATTTGAATTATGTTATAATTTTGGTACAAATCTATTAAAAATAAGAAGTTTTTAAGCTCTTATAGGCATTGTAGGTACTATCTCTTTAAATGACTTACTTAAAATTTCCTAGCTCTACCTCTAACTAACTGAAGAGTTTTGGGCAAGTAACTTTAACACTCTGGGGTCTCAATTATTTTCTCATCTATAAAATGAATAAGATAGTAGTATCTGCCTCAGAGAGTTGCAAACTTTAAATAACACATATACAAAAGATAGCACTGTGCACCGTAAACTATCATCATCATCTTTTTAATCGCCTTCATCCTCTTTCAGAATGACTATTTTAGCAATTTCCATATAAGGAAAATCAGAAATCAAAACTTTTTCTATGGCACGGCATGACTGTGGCAGTGCCCATCAACATCTTCTATTGATCTACATGCATATTAGACCAGCATTCAAATTAATTTCCATGAGGAAGAAAAGTAAAAGTTACTGCTAAGAGTTTCTGAACAACATATATCATTTCTTGTTCAGAATTCACTTTGGCTAGAAATAATAAAATTATAATATTTTGATCAGAAATAATAACTTAGAGTTATCAAAGGAAACAAAATCAAACAACAGTAATAGAATAGAGTTTCCAAAAAGACAAAAGAGAAAGGGGCCGTCAAGCCTCTTTTATTTGGCCAATAGTTAAACCATTTATATACCTACTGGATTAAGTTCAGTGACATCCCATTCAAGGTACTCTGCAACATGCATCATCTGACTGATGATATTTTCTAGCTCCTGAAGCAGAGAGAGGGGCAAAGAGAATGGGGGAAAAAGAGAGAAAATGAACACCAAGTCTTACTAAACAACTTTGACTTGCAGTACTTGTTTTGTTCAATCTGTAAAAGCTTTATATAATTACACATATGTAAAATATCTGTTTAAAAGGTCTGATTAATTACACATAAAAGAAGAGTCTAAATAGAAATTCACTTTGCATTTTGTCTAGAAATCTTCACCAGGAGAGGGCACAAACATACAAAGAGTTTCTTCCAGTAGATTTTTAAGGAAGAAACTTTCTCTGGAATGGAGAGTCTGATGAAAGGAGGAGATGCATATTTTCACAAGACATGATTTTTAAGTCACTGACTATCTTTACCTTGTGGCTTGAAAACAGGTGTTTGAGAGCAACTGAGAGATTTATTTTTATTTGATATATTGAGAACGTATATCGACTCTTCCAGCCATTTATTAGGATCATTTGCTCTGCTAGGGAATGTTCAGGGTCAAGATCAGGAAGCTTAACTCATGTAGAGCTTATTTTACGAGGGGATAGAATTTTGGTTTGAATTTTCACATTATTCTACTCAAATGTCAACTCTTTAAAGAACTGATAGTGAATACTTATGGCTTGGCTAAATAGCTTTAAACTATTTTGTACGTAGATATTTAATGTTTTAATTTTTCCCTATCTTCAGAAAAGATTAAAGATACATTGCAAATGCTAGTAATTTTAAATGTAGGAAATTTAAAGTGGTGTTATTCAGTGTGACATTTAAACTATAAGTATAAAAGAATAAGGCTTGAATGTATATTAATGAAGGATTATTCTACTCAAACCTCTGATCTAATATATGTAGTTAACATTCATAGAATTAAGTCAGAAATATGGTAAAGAGGTTTTCTTTAGGGGGGGGTCATGGATCCCTTTGAGAAACTAATGAAAGCTACATTTCCTGTCTCTAGAAAGGATGTAATCATGAAAATGTTATTTATGCTACAAAGGTTGTCTCAGAAATAATACAAATATAAATGCGTTTATTTATTACAGATAAGAAAAATTTTAAGCACAAATCCCTTGGAATTATAGGCCAGAATTGGTGTGTGTGTGTGTGTGTGTGTGTGTGTGTGTGTGTGTGTGTGTGTGTTACTAATCTTCACCTACTCTATTTCTGCTTATATACGCCTTAATAGTTTGGTATGGTTAAGTCCCTGGATATGTTTTCAGGAATAGAAACTATTTTTAGTGGACTATTATGTAGGTATGCAACATTAAATAAGTCACTTAACCTAAGACTCAGTTTCTCCATCAGTAAAAATATTTCTTTTAATATTCTAATCTTACCTAGTTTGAGAGTTGCTGCAAAGATTAAACATGCTATTATATGAAATGCATTTATCTTGTCTAGCATATTATAAGTGATTAATAAACATTAATAGTAATATTAGACATAGTGGTCATTTTTCAAAGTATCAGTTTTCCTCTGCTTTGCGTCAATATGTGAACTGCTACAACTTACAATTTCTAAGCAAATGACATCAGAAGATGTAATTTCAAACTCACATTGAAAGAAATACACTGGGCAGTAAGTTTTGTTGGAAAAAAACATAGAAAGTAAATCCAGACCTTTAATTACAGAAAAGACTAGGTTAACATAAACAAATGTATTTATTCCAACTTATTGTTTAATATTTTGAATATAGCCACAAATATTGCATATTGTGAGTATAGCCACACATATTGCTATCAATCTACTATATGTTAACAAAAAAATGGCAGAGAGCAAAAACAGCATTTGACTGAATTTTCAAATAAGCTGGCAACTCTTGGCTAAAAGCCTAGTGAAAAAAAATCCTTTTAATTTAATGAAAAAGAAACATTAAATAAAACAAATCAGCAGTAAAAATATATATTAGTGTAATCAAAAGTGCTACAATAAGCATATTGAACTACCTAGAAGAAACCTTAACTGCAACTATGAAATGCCACCAGAAAATGAGCAAATGTATCATGTAGCTTGATATTCCTAAATAGAAAACTGAACACTACTAGGCACTTAAAAATAATAGCATCTGAAAGAATAGAGAGATTTAAACATAAGAAATCCCACAATCACAGCATCAATTCAGATTGGTGTTTATTTCCTGGAGTGAGAATTATATATTTTTATCACTCTCTGGAGAAGCTAATATATTGTTATCCTAATCAGTGTTACAAAAGTATGTCTTCAACTTCATTGCTTTGTTTGTAAAAGTCTGCTTGAGTTCTGCCATAGGGAGGGACATCAGATGATGAGAGAAACTCACTCATTATCAGAAATAACATTTATTTTAATCATTACTAAATATATCAAAACATTTGTTTTGAAGTGCCCGTGTACTTCAAAATTTCCATAATCTAACACTTATTCTTTTAGTAATATCCTTATATTTCCTTTCTAGAACAGAGAATAATATGTAAAATGTTATTAGTAAATATGAAGTACATTATTAGATAAAGCCTGAGATAGATTTACATGAGGCACTGATTTGTGCAGTACAATTGAGAGTCTAACTACTCTTCTGAAAACTATTAATGATTTGTATATGTTAGAAATAAAATAAACATTTAATTATTCATTTCAGTTAAATCATACAGAGATGGTTTTTTCTCCTATTGCTTATTATAACTAAAACTATAGAGAGTGCAAGTTACATTTAAAATTGGATGAGACATTTTAAAAAGGGAAATTTGTCAAAGCAATTTGTAAATATATTTAGCTATTTCAACAGCCTACATGGCTAAGAATACTTTTTAAAAGGTGAATGATTAAATGATTAAATTGACTTTATAATTCTTTTAAATTCTACCTGTATTCTTGATATTTTCTATAGTGTCAAATCTCACAATTTTTTTCTTTCTAGATCAATGGTCTCAACTTTCTCACGTTTTATCCAAATAAGGTTTAGTCATCTTTATCTTTAAGAGCATAAAATGTCACTTTTTGGTAATAAATTTTTTCAGTACAACAATTGTAATCTAAGTTTTCTCAGATCACTCTCTTACAAAAATCAGATGATAAAAATGTTGTGTGAGTTCATGAAAATTATATTAAGTGTATCTTCTATGGTAATAGCTATGAATTTATTCAATGCATTTTTCAGAACAAACTACTTTGAAATTTTCTGAGAAAATTTGAAGAAAAAAATTACCGAGCTGTCCAGGAAGCCATTCCCATCTGTGTCATACAGGCGAAACATAACTAGAAACAAAAGAGATGTTGGGAAAAAGATTACAGGCAATAAGATCAATGTTATTATAAGGCATATTCTTTAAAATTTATTTTTCGTTGAAATCAAATACTAAATCTCTCCCTACTCAAATCAATTGATTTGTGAGATCATTTCTCAAGCTAAATTGAAAATAAATTAGTTTATAAAAATATTAGCTATCAGGTAAAAAGTGTATCAGTATTTGTTATATATCTAGGAAACAATAAAAGGTACTATTTGTTCAAATTCTTTATTACAAGAGCATTAAATGGAAACTCAAAAATAAGAGAAGAAATTCAAACATTCAGAGTGTGGATATTAAAGCACAGAGTGGATAAGAAGAAACAACCACTTGGGTGATCTGGAAATAAACTGTAATTTGGAATCCACCATCCATTATTCTGTGAGCTTAATCAAACACTATTTTCTTCTGTAAATTGAGAATAATCACCCTGTCATAAGACACACATTTGTTGTGAAAGTTAAGGGAGGTGATACACACAAATGCATATCAAAAGCCATAGGTATTACACAAATATAAGCCACTGTTTTTGACTGATCCCCAAGCAATAAAGGAAGGAAAAGATTACTGGCAAATCAGGACATTTTTCCAATGGAGGATGACAAGACATAAAATGCATTATTATAATGGCTATAATGGAGTATTTGTTTAAATCTTAGATGTCGTTTCATAGGGAAACCACTATTTGAACTAATCAAGTAAGGAAAAGGTGAATGTTGACTTTGTGGTAGTGAGCTCAGGAAAGCAGCATGGCAGAAGTCCATGACTGGTCTGAGGATTCCCTTTTATAATTCACACACCACCAGGAGACTACTGATTAGGCTGCAGGTGTCATTTTGAGATAAACAGAGAAGAATGACACAGCTATAAAAATAGAGCAGTGGAAATGAGGGTTTGCTTTGGGTTTGTATAACTTCCTGGAGAATCTTGACAGCTGAGGTTTATAACGTTAAATAAAGATATTGATAATTAGGAGATATAAACATGTAATGACCTTGATCATATATTTGTAATTAATTTTTATTTTTGTATATAACAGTAAAAGGAAATAATAATAACCTGCTTTATTAAAAATAAACTTAATTAAAAATTAACCTGTTTCTCTGTCTCCCCTGTGATACTGTACATGAAACACTGATCTTAAAAAATGAACATACTGTTGAAGTATTATACTTATAGAGAACTGTAACATTCAAAAAATTATCAAAATGAACACACTAATGCAACTAATGATCCAAGTCAAAGAATAGAATATTGCTAATATAACAGAAACTTTCTCATGTCCCCCCATTATTATTTCCTCTCCTCTTTCCAAACTTCTCGAGTCTCTTGACTTCTACATGCATTTTTTGAATTTTAGCATCATTTACTGAATATTACATTTCTGATCTTCATCTGCATTATTCTGAGCAGTATTAACTCATTTACTTTTTTTTCTGCATATTATTCAAAGGTATAAAAATATTACAATTTATTCATTCTAACTTGAGCAATATTTAGGTTGTCTCCAATCTGCTATTTCTATAAACCTTCTTGTGAATGGCTTTTATGCTAGATGAACATTTGACAGTTGGTTATAAACCAGTAAAAGAGATATCTGAGTCATAGGACTTGCAAATGTTTACCCGTTAGTAATATTGTGGTTTTACCAAACTAGACAGCAGTCAGTGAGAGTGAGTTGCTCCACATCCTTGCCAACAGTGGCTAGTATCTATCTAATTTAAGCCATTCTGGTGAGGGTATAGTGGTATGCCACTGACATTATAATTTTCATTCCCTTGACTACTAGGGAGACTGAGCTCATTTTCATATGCTGATTGTCCAGACAGGCTTGAATGTTCCCAGGATATTCTTGACCCCCACTGTGCCAGTTCGAGCCTGTCTGATTGAAATTACATGATGGACCTACAAGCAGAACTACCCAAGTAAGCTTTTTCCAGACATAAAAATGAGATATAATAAAATGAATGCGGTTTTCTTACACCACTAAATTTGGTGGGGAAGGGTTTGTTACAACAGGAAAAGAAACAGTTACTGGAAAGATAATCTTTACTTGACTTTCAGTGCCAACTTTGTCATAATCAAGTATCCATGTAGGTTTGGGTCAGTTTCTAGATTTCCGATTCCACTGACTTGTCTATTATTGCATCAGTACCACACTGTCTTAATTACAGCAGCTTTAAAAAAAAAAAACTTGATATGAAATTAAATATATCCTCTAATAACTTTATTCAATTTCAGCTTTGTTTTTAGAAAGTGACAAGCTGATTTAAAAATTTACATAGAAGTAAAAAAGACTAAGAATTCCCAAAACAACTTTTAAAAGGGAGAACAAATTTGGAAGGTTTCCATGACCTGACTTCAAGAGTTGCTAAAAACCCAGGGTAATCAAGACAGTGAAGCTGAAGGATAAACACATACAACAAGGGAGAGCAGAGTCCAGATATAGATCCACACACATATGGTAAGCAAGGATACCAAAATAATTCAAAAGACTTCTCAAAAAAAATGACAATGGAACTAGATGGATATTCATATTAAAAAGATAACCTTGACTCTGACTTCATATTAAACATAATCATCATGTCAAAATGACTTTGAACTTTAAATGAAACTTTGACATTTTTAAAAAAACAAACTTTAATTTTAACATTAAAGCAAAACTATAAAGCTTCTAGAAAAAAATGTAAGAAAATACATTCACAATCTAAGGTCACCAACCTTAAGGTTCATGAACCAACATGAACCATCAATGACAAAATAATAATAATAGGTAAATTAAACCATAAAAATTAGTGCTTCTGCTCATCAAAAACAAACTGAAAATAAGAAAATAAGTCAACCACAGACTTGAAAAAATTTTCAGAACACATATATCTGACGAAGATAGTTTTCAGAATATATGAACAAATCCTAAAGCTCGGTAAGAAAAAGACAAACAACCCAATTAAGAAAGAGACCGAAAATTGAACAGATATTTCAAAAAAGAAAAGTATATGAATAGCCAACCTATATAAACCACAATTAGAGACCACCATATACCTATTAGAAAGATTCTGGACCTGAAATATTTTTCCCCAAGAACAATCTTCCAAAACTGCTCAGCTGCTTAGCTGCTCTCATTTGTAATTCTAAAAAGTATAATTTAAAAAGTGTCAAAAGCCAACTTCCTCTCTCCTAGAAATTTGACCCACAAATCCAATTAGTCTTGATAATTCCCTGAAATTTTCAGATTAAAAAAAATCTTGTGTCTAAAATTTCTAGTTGTTTCAGTAAGAAAATTGGGCTGAAAACACAATTCACTATTGACTGAAGGAAAACCCCTAATTTTTTTACGTAGTTAATTTCTAAACATTAATAGGAGTTAATAGCTGTCTATGAATTCTTTCTAATTCATCAAGGAATAAAGTTGGAGAACTTTAAGTTTAACCAATGATAATATCAATAATAAAATTAACATACATATACTGAGCACTATGTATCACTTACTCTAAGTTTTACCAAGTCTAATCAAGGATAAAAATTTTCTTTGGTCCTGGATGAGAGGAATTCTAGGATTTTAATTTTCAGAGATGTCTACTTTTCTAATTTAAAATTATAGTGGGGTCATACAAAATATAAAATATTGAACACACATATTTACCTTGGTTTTCTACTGAAGTGCCACAATAGTAATAGTAAGGGATGAAATAGGCATATATTCACAAGCACAAAGAAAACATAAAAGGAGAAAAGAACAACCACATTTTAGAAGCTGGACAACACACAGTGACTGACTTAGAAACTGAGAAATATAAACTTAGGCTGGTAGTAAACAAAAGGCAAAAATTTGCATAGAAAGGGTGATCAGCTGGAAAACCAATTGATAAATCTTCACAAAAAGAAGGTAGATCTCAAATACTACCCTTCATGCTTTGTACCTGAGAGTATACCAGCTCTCTACCCCAGCAGAAGACTGGGCCTTTGTGCAAGGAGTCCAATCACAGGAATTCTGACCTCAAGGTATTTAGAAATTCTGATGGTGGGATACTATACCAAGGATAGGGTAATTATGTGACAGTCTGTACTCTGAATATGAAAAGTAAAAGTCCCCTTTCTCATATCCAGTTAGTCAGACTTAAATCTTAACTACCTGCCCACCTACCCACTACCACCAAGGAATCCTTCCAAAATCAAGCAATTAAAAAAAAAAAAAGTAGGGAGCAAGGAGGGGATTAAAAAACTTATAAGTAAGAGGAAAGTTTTAAATAACAAAATAAGAATAGGAGCATATAAGGATCATGCAGAGAACAGATTGGATTCTCTGCAAGGTGTATCAGAAAAAGTGGGGCAGGAGGAGGAGAAAGTCATCATAGATGTAGAAGATATTTTAGGTGTTGAAGGAAAGAAATGAGAAAAGAAATTGAAAATAGAAAAATAAAAAAGAACAGTCATTCAAAATTCTGTCTTGGAGTTTTAACATCCCAAAATAGTGGTTCCAGAAAGAACAAAAGAGAAGGTACTAACAATGAAAAGATTAAAGAATAAATAAAGAGCATGAGTTTCAAAACCAAAATTTATGGTGTAAGATTTAGGGATTAATTTGTTATATAAAAATAGAATTAAATAATAAAAAATGCAATTATTAACAGTATGGAAAATGAAAATTCTTTGGCTTCTTTCCCTTTTAAAATGATATCTGAATAATTAGTTGATAAAATTAATACCTATCTTCAAATATTATAATGAGACTATTTCTTAGAATTTTAAAGTAAAGTTAGGCCCCAAGGTCAAGAGAATCATTGAGCAAATAGACCTTAATTTAAAAGCCAACATAATAAGGGTATAGGTTTTTAGGTGCAAAAATAATTTAGGCCCAATATTAAAATTCTGTCAGCATGATAGCTTCTAAAGGTGGGTACCTGTCACAAAGTTACAAGCTAGTTTAACCCACTTTTTTTTCCTATTTTTATGCTCATGCAATTACACTTTATATAGAAACAATTATGTGCCCACACATGAATTTGGTTAAAAGATCAGAGCAAAGGCACATTATGTAACATAAAGGTAATTCTTTATATGTACAAGTTTTTCTCTTCTAAAAGATTTTTATCTCTTTTTTTCCTTGAATATCCTATTATACATACTCTGGTGTTTTTCTACTTTGCAAATATGTTATTCATATGAAAATATTAATATAGAATTTATTAAACATTAAAAAATTTCAAAAGGCATTTAAGCTGGAATTTCTTCAATTTGTTTTTTTCTTTTCCATTTAATGTATTTCAAGACTTACTTAATAAACTTTCAGGGCAGAGGCAAAAAAAATAGCTGCTTGGAGTTTGTGAATCTAATGTAATAGAGTAATATTTTCTCCTTTTTCATAAGAGAAACAAAAACAATAAAAGGAAGCTTTTTTAATATAAAAGGAGCAGTTATGCAGTAGGTCAGAAATCATGTTTTAGTTACAACTAGATCAACTCGTGTATACTTAATAACCAGTCTCTCTGGGCTTTAGTGTTTTCATTGACACTATTGAGAGGTTGACCACATGACCTTTAAGGTCTCTTCAGAGTTAAATTTCAGTGATTCTGAGATTAATTCTCCACATAGCAGTAACTAACATACAGGTTAATCTTCATTATCTGCAGGCCAGTTTTCTATTTTCTGGTTATTTTCCTATTGATTTCTCTTTAGTGATAGATTTCTGGTAAGCTAACTTAAATATTATTCTAGTTAAGTTATTAATAATTTATAAACATTACCCCAAATGTGAATACCATGTATTTTAAAGTCACAGTATAAATAAATTTCACATAATTTTATGACTTAAATTAACTTTTCTCAAGCACCCATTAACTTCAATACAATTCTATTTAACTATTTACTGAGCATGTCTGTGGAAACACACACAAAAATGTGCTCACTCATACAAACGGTCAGGAGCAGGGTGGGAAGTTACACAGTACAAGGGTACAAGGAGGGAAAGCAAAATAGATCTGATTAGAAGATGGCAAGAAGATTCATGATATGAGCTAGGACTCAAGTGTAAATCTGATATACACTGAGAATGAATGCCCTCAGCAAATGCACATTATAAGCAAAGTCATAAAGTTGGGAAAGTTCAGGGTTTGTTTGATGACTGAAAACTAGATTCACGTGACTGAAACATCGTTTGTGCATGTGTACACAATTCAAAGCCAAATGTAAGACTGGCCAGGTAGGCTGGAGTCAAATTGTGGAGCCAGGTCAGTTTTCGCATGCTAAGGGCTTACATTTGTTTATTATTCAATAAGGAACTATTAAAGGGTCACTTATTCGTCCACAATCAGAAGAGAAAGTTGAAAGAATAGGTCAGCAAGTTGATGAGTTTTAGATAACATGAGAGAAAGTTACAAAAATTCACACCTTGTATATACGACGATTAAAAAGGCAGGTGTTTGAAGAAGCAGGACATTTAGATTAACTTTTAACTGGAAGAGGTTGGTGACCAGAGAAACACTGAAGGCCAGGTGAGGTTAATCCATCGAATTACATTTTTATTTCACTAAACCTCTGTCACCTCAGTATATGAGCAAATAAATTGAGGGCTTGAACTAAGTGTGAAAGAATAATAATAATGGGCATCATGGATTACGGGGTCAGTCTACATTTGAAGGTATGGGAGGCCAATAAGCAGCAGGCAAATTCAGAATGGAAACAAAGTGGTTAAGGGACAAGATTTCTGAACTTATTTTTATTTCACTTCACAAACAGTTATGTAAACTAATAAATGTGAAGGAATTTATGTGAGCAAATATCGGTTCATTTAATCCTCATAGCAAACATATAAGATCGACATTAGTATCATCCCAATTCTATAGTTGGGGTAACTGAGGCATGAAGTTTTTATTTTTCATTTTTATTTTAATGTACACAGGTCACTCAGATAGTGTCAATTAGGAAATCAATATCAAAATTCAACATTCACCTACAAAAGTTAATTATATTAGGTACTAGATCATATCTATTTGTGTTAATTGTAATTATTATTTTTATTTTTTTGTATTTAATAAGTCATAACCATTTTGGAAATACATATATATTAAATGAACAATGATTAAATTTCCTTAAAATCTTATTTAAAAAAATTTAATTTATAATTGTAAAAGAAGACATGAATGTCAAGAATTTGTAAATTTGCAATTGCAGAAGGGGAAAAATAGTACTGTACATTGCTAAGACAGTGGGTGAGAGGAATGAATTCTGACTTAATTGATGTAAGAAACTGAAGAAATTGTGCTTCTGAAATTGAAGTTCATTTACTTTGAAGAATCTGGTGAAAAAAATTATGGTAATAATGACGTCTATCTATGAAAAGAATCTAAAGAAATGGTTAAGAAAAAAAGAACAATAAAATTGAATCTGGTGTAAGCTTGAGAAAAAGCTAAAAAAGTCAAAGAAAAAACAGAGGGAAGAAGGTTGATAGCAATGAAGAGAGCAAGGTGGAAGGTCAGGTTTGACTTCATTCATCAAGTAGTTTTGAATGAACTGTGGGTCACCATTCTGCCTGCAATGTGGACAAAGACTGTTGATTCATAAACTCAAATTGAGAAACTAAAAGCACGCCTCTTAGGAATTCTGCCTTAAAAACAAAATACTTATAGTTGACCTAAAAATAATTAAACTGCAACACAGAGACCATGCTGGAAGGTGTGCTGGTAACTTTATTCAGTCTCAGATCTGGAAATATATATTTGCCTTTCTATTTTTAAATTCATCGCAAATATCATCCTGATAACACCTGAGCAAACTTTCTTTCTGGCTGTCACTTCAACAGAAATTCACTGAACATCAATATTTATTTTGGAATGAGAGAGATTTCTGTAGGTTCTTAGGAATACAAATAAATCTTGAAATGCAAATATTCAACATTTAGGAATAACAAATATTTATTTAAAGAATAATGTTAATATAGCCCATTCATAAGCAGGTGTGACTCACTCATATTATAATAATCCTTTATTAGTAAGAGAAATATTATCAACAAGTTGCTATTAAATTTAATTAAACATACTTCCTAATCATGATTCTGAGACTTTACAATGTTCTATATTTGCTTTAGAAATGTCAAATTTAGGATTCATTATTTTCACTATCATTTCAGTAGCAAGAATTTTTAATTCACTTTAATAACATCCGATATAATCAAGTTAATCACATTATTGAACAAACCACCAGCTCTACATTTAGCAAGGGCTTTAGAGACAGAATAAATTACTAAATAAATAATCAGGCTTAGAGTAAATGTTTGAAAAATATTTTCTTGCATTGCAATGAGTGCAGTTTGCCACCAGAGAGAGCTCAGCCACTATATTTTATTAAAGACAGCAATTATTTCTTTTCAACTTCATAGAAATTCTCTATCTGAAATATCTGCTACATTGTAGAAGAAACAAACAGAGCTACTGTCTAATTATTGGTAATATCCAGAGTCAACTTCTATAAATGAAATTCTCATATTTGGCATTTGAGAAATTATTTGTTCCTAGCAAAGTAAGTGTTAGGGCTGAAATTTTCAAGAAAGATTTCCAGGGGAGATTGGCTGAGACTGCATGTGCACAGTGAACTCTCTTGCTGCCTAATGGGGAGACCTCTTCGTATAGAAATAAATGTTACTTTTTTTCTCTTTTTCAAAACAACATAAAGGATACTTTTTAAATCATTTTATTGCCAATCTGAACAACATTAAAAAGGGTCATTTGACAGAGAAACATGCTCTAGAAAGGCTCAATAATAAATGGAATTTAATAAATAACCTAAAATTGATAGATTTTTAAATATCCTTCCACTATTTCATTCTCAACTGGAGGAATTTATTATTATTATTAATCAAGGTCACTTTATTTTAAAAAACCTAGATAACCATACTAGATGCAATTTTAAGTTTATCAATATTTGGTCCCTTTCCCTCCCCCCAATTGTAATAACTAAACTAAATGAAGAAATACATACATTCAAGTTTATCCTCAGGTCTTCCTCTTTCAAGGAGAGACAGGTAACAGACAATGTCCTTCAGATGGATCACTTCTGGGGAAGAAGTATTTGAAGGAGAAGTACGGGGAGGGGTGATGGCACCTTTATTCATTCTCAGACCTGAAAAAGAATTGGTTTTATCTTCTTAAAAATATCCAAAGCACTCTCAAACAAATAAACAACACCAGTGAAAAGAAAGAAATAGACAGTAAAGCATAGACCATGTAAAGAGCTATATACTTCTAGGCATGGGATAAGCAAAGTCTCTGGATCACCAGTTTGGCAGCGTCAAACATACTCTCCTACTGTTGTAAACAATGGAGAATTTAGGGGGACTTAGGGACACAAGGACTGCTCTGTCCACACACTGGAGAGTGTCAGAGTCTGGATCCTATTGTCCAGAGTGAGTTGGTAGACAGATCTGAATGCCCCAGGAATCCCTTTCAATTCCACCTTTCTCTGCTTTAGGCGTGACAGCTATAAATCAACTGGGAAGATACATAAAATTGACCATAAAAAAGCTGAAGAAGCAATGTGAGTCTGTCATAAAATGATGCATATGTTGATAATCAGGAATCGTTTATTCATAAAAACATGTATTTGTGTCAAATATCTGCCAACACCATGAACGAGACATCTTTTTCGCCATCAAGGAATTTGCCCATGAGTAAGAGAGAAAGGCAACATAAACAAAAATCTGGATAACGTGACAGATATTTAATTAGAGAGGTAAAAATACATGGCTGCATTTTAATTTCTGAAATCCATTCACTCTACCTATTCCAAGACAAGGGTAGAGAACTTTAATACCTGTTTACAACAGTTGATGATTGCAGATTATCTGGTCGATGACAATCAAACTGAAATGTGTTCGCACTAGATGACTAGTTCCCTCTTACAGAGAAGCCTCTGAAACCAGATTTATGTATGTGAAAAGACCTGAAGGTAAACCCCAAATATCCTTTGAGGTACATTTGACAACATAAGAGGTGTTTGAGTGAGATAGCTAATAAACTGAATGGCTACTGTGTTCCCGATTAACCAGGAGTTACTGGAATCCCAACCAAATACAGTCCTACATGCCCATCATTCCTTAGTGTACCTCTGCCTGATCACAACTCTTGCTCTATTCTATTTTCTTTGATGTATAACTGTGGCTGAATATCTGTCATCTCCCCCAACTATCTCAAGACAGCCAGCATATAATTTAATGCATTACAAAAGTCATAAATTAGTTTATCATTTACAATGCTACAAGTAATAAAATTTACCGTTTATTGAATGGCTAATATGTGGGAGGAACCATGCCATGGGCTTTAACGTGTATCATTTAACATAATTCTCACATTAACTTGTGAGGTAAACTGTATACTCCCATTTTACAGATGAGAAATAGGCTTTAGTGATTAATTTCTATGAGTTTCATAGTTAGCAAGTCCATCTTCTTTATTCTACACTAATGGTTTATAGACTATTGTCAGTTCAAGGCCAATAGCAAGAAAACATAGAAAAAAAATTAATACCTTAATCCAGCATGATCCTTTCACACACACACACACACACACACACACATTAGGTTTCATAACTGCTTCAGTATATTCTGTCAACCTATTCTCTTCTGTTTCGTTTCATTCTTAAAATTGTCAAAGACCCGCTAAACTGAATTCATTATTCACTAATGCGTCCCTACACACAGTCTGAAAAATACTGCTTAATATACTCCCTTCGTCTTCTTTACCAAATTATTACTTATTTCAAAAACACCTCTATGCATCACATTAATTCTTTTTCTGTTTATAGTTATTGAATATATATATATAAAATTATTTTTCTTCTCAATAGAATGTCACCGACTAATATTAACTAATATAGTTATTTTTACAAGCAGAGAATTGAAGACTACCCTGGGCTTAAAAAAAAACCTGACTAATTCTAACTGACCAAATAAAGCTTAGCCATCTGTAGGAATGAGCAGTTCCAACTTATGATAAAAGACATCTTCGTGCTGACCCTTGACGTGACCATAGCTTCCAGCCCTGGAGAACAGAGCACTTGAATTATGGTGGGATAAACCATGACCTAACTCATCCTGCCTGATGAGCTAATCCTCTCTTCTATGCTTCCCCCTATGGTACTAAAATGATTTAATCAGCTCGATTTAAATCTTTTATACGAAACTGAGAACAAAAAAAGAAAGTATGAAAAGAATACGGTGTGACATTCATTTGAAAGAATGTTAAATGTATTATACATTTTCACTTATTTAGAACACTTTATGATCATTTGTTTATACTTATAAAACTAAGATGTAGGGTCTTACATTATCATCTTTCATAATACTGAATATAAACAGTTGAAGAATGTGAAGACCACATGATTTTCTGTTTGCCTTTCCTGTACATAATATATATATATATAGATAGATATTGAACATGAGCATATACATGTAATTTATATTTAGCCTCAGTCTTTTTGAAGAAACAGTACTGTACTAAAATTTGTTTTGTTTGACAAAATGAGTAAATATTTCTCATTTGCTGTTCATGACATGTTGTGAACTAAATTCTGTATTATATATTTGTGTCATAATTCTATATTTAAAAAATATTTAAAGTTTACCAAAAGAAAAATTATGGGGATATATGACAACACACATTGAAGAACTATTTAACTCTTTGTCAACTTCGATTACAGCCAAATTTGAGAGGCAAAACATACACTTTTTGCAATGAATTGTAGGGTGTATTAAAGAAAAAGATGCAATGTCAAAGACCTTTTTCACAATTACTGTATTATAACAAGAAAAACCATAGAGCTGGACTTTACTAAATCTTGGGTGTTAAATTAATGAAAATACTCAACAGTTCTGTTCCTGCTCCATTCCCTCCCCAAGATCAGCCCACTTTCTCTTTTTTGGTGAAATGTTTCTTCTTCTTTTCATTTAACTTTCTGAAAACAGACCTTGAGCCTCAATCTGTCTACAAATTGGTATCCTACTCTACCATTGGTAATTTTTTCCATTTCCTAAATCTGGCTGGAGGACAGTTCATTGCCCTGAAATCAAGTTCTTTTCCTTTTAGGCAGATTATGCTAATGATTGTCCAGAATACACAGGGAACAATGTAAATAGAAAACAAGAATTTGCAAGCCTAGGTTCTTGACTATAGCCCCTCAGGAAGAAGGTAAATGGACTACTAAATAATTCTCTTTAGCAGCAATAGCCTCCAATGAAGAGGCTCAGAATTCTACTTCCCATTAACAAAGGCCATTTTAATGCATCCAAACATTAGTGAAACGCTCTTTAAAGTAAGAGCTGAACAAGAATTTAAGCAAAACAAAAGGTGTTTCTTTGCCCACAAATGGCCAGTACTTAGCTCTGCAGCTCACGCTATTGATTGACACCCAGTTTGCAGACTCTCTCTGTGTTAGTTTATGCTTCCTTAAATAGTTCCTCACAAAAGTGCACAAACACATTATTTATGTCCACGTACTCACATCTATACATGTATACATCTATATTACAGTGTATAATAATGTAGTAAGGTGAAAAATAAACATTATATTTAGAATGTATTAGTTTTATTAGGAAAAATTATCTTGTACTTTGAGAGCAATTTTCTGTTTTTATGATTTTAGCATATGTATATACACTGAAATATATATTTATATATACATTTATATATAAATATTCTCTTCAAAGTTTTAACTACAAAAATAGTTAGCATTAGTCAAATTGAACATTGCCTACTATTATTATATGCTGTCATAATATTCTTCAAGCACATGATTTTCATTTTCCTCCATTTCTGGAAACAATAACCTAAAAAGTTTTGCTCTTATAGATACTTTTAATTCCAGTCACAAGGTTCAATTATTAGCAAATAAGTCTGGGGTACATGTTCAATTACTGCCTCTGCTCCAGTTTTATTTTCAAATACTTGCATTTCAGATAATGAAAACAGTACCGTTATCTCCAGTTTCCCTTCATTATTAAAATGAAATATTCAAAACTAATAACATGAATTACATTTCTAAACTTCTAAGGCAATAAAGCACTCTGGCAATTTGGCTTTCCCATTTTTTTTAATACTAGTTCAATTTGCACAAATTTATCAGGTTTATGAAGCGATTTGTCACATAATATAATTCTACTTCCCACATCCATATTAACAGTCACAATGAGTAGCATAGACAACCAAGAGTAAAACAGTTGTTTAGTATTATTATACATTTCATAATTGTTAAAGTTACCCTTCCAACTATGTTTGTCTTAGGATAGTGCTATCATTATTTTTTTTTAACGTTTATACAGACTGACAACAAAATAGGATGGCCTGGGTTGCAAATCAACAAGTAATGTAAAAGAGACTACGATTCTTCATAAAGTCAGAACAGGCAGTGGGATACAGTTACTGCCGTGAGATAAAGGTCAGCAAAGTCCCTCTAACAACATACTTTGAGTTTCTTGTTTGAACACTGGCAAAAACCCCAAATAAGCAATCATAAAGAACAGGATTTGAAATGCAGGTCTTTAGGGGTGATGTTCTAGAGCCACCACTGTGAAGGGGCAATAATAATAACATTTCTGGCTGTGTGCCAACACTTAAATACAGTGGTCTTATTTGACCCTACAAATCTATTTTAGAGACAAGAGAGTGAAAAGCCAGAGTAAAGTAAACTGCTGATGGTCACGTAACTATCCAGGAAGTCAAGAGCTAAAAACAAATCATCTAATTCCAAACCTTAGGTTCTTTGCAAAAGCAGTTAAAACAAGACCTGTCCATACCAGACCTTTTCAATAGAGTATTCCGCACTAATAGAAATATGTGTGTGTGTGTGTGTGTGTGTGTGTATACACACACACACTATATTGAACAGTACATATATGTGTGCGTATATATACTGTTCAATATAGTAGTATTAACCACACATGACTCTTGAGCATGTGAAAGGAGGCTGGCGTGAATGAAAAACTAATTTGTTTTGTTGAATTGTTAACTATTTTAAATTTAAATTAGGACTGACAAAATGGCGTAGGCTTTGTTAATCTCCCCTGGCAACCACACCAAAGCTGTGAAGGAAACGTGGAGCAAACAGCAAGCAGAGTCACCGGGGATCTA